GCCCCCCCCCCCCCCCCCCCCCCCCCCCCCCCCTTTTTAATCCACTAGGAGTTGGATTTTCTTGAAATTCTATCACTTAGCTATAAATAGAGACTTATTACAGGTCAAGCCCCTAAATCCATGTAATCATTTCCCAACAGCCATTTTTTAAATCAGTGTCCATTTCACACATTTTCTCAGGCCATTCAGAACCTTTTCTGAACCCTTTGGAGAAAAAATGGAAATGGAAAAAGAAATGGAAAATATCCGTACAGGATAAGGAATAGTGTATGCAAGACTGGACCATGACCAAGAGGAATACATGTTATTCCCCCATCCAACCTTCAGAAACATGGAAAAAAAGATGCTATTTCATAGTCTATTCTGAAGCTTGGACAGGGAGGTTGTGGGATGGGAAAAGCTATAGGGAATATCCCAGTTGTTATCCCAGCTAGATCCAGAGTTGCTGTAAAGAGGGAAGCCTTTTATGCAGCTGGCTCTATCCTCCCCAAAGATCTGCTAGATCTGGAGGAGGCTGCATGGTTTTTCTATTGCACAGAGGTGACGAGACCCTCATGAATTTTTTTTTTATTTTTTTTTTTTACCTCTCCAGGGAAACCCTTCACAGGGTTTCACCCAGACACATCTTTTTTGCAGGACTGGGGATTATATTTTGCCTGCATAAAAAATGTACACATCCAACCCACTCGTGGGGCTGGCTAAAGTGCCCTCACTGCTAGACCAAAGGCACTGCGGGAAAGGCAAATCCAGCCTTTCACCAACTTTGCAACGCTCTGGAGATGGCTGGTCAGGTCCTAAATCACAGCAATCTCAGGCTTGCGCTAGCTTATGCCTTCTGTGTTCTTATCTCCGGGCTGTCACTGTGGCAGCCCAGGCGTAGCATCCCCCCAACCCACCCCTGCTTTGTGCATCACCCATACCCCGGGCCGGTGGCTGAGCAGGCTCTGCACCACCCAGGTGATCCCTCAGCTCCAGGGAAAGCCCCTGGGCTCCCAGCTTGGCAGCACGAAGAAGCCACAGGGCAACAAAGAATTAGGTCTCCAGAGAGACGCTGAGCTGGCATACGATCACAGATGGCCAAACGTATCATTCAGTTATGCCTGTAAGTTCGCATTGAAGATATCGCTTGCTAGGAATCATATGTTCATGTAACGGAGTCACAGTATGTGAATTTACATTTGTCGTGTTACTTATGAAGAGCCCAGTAGTCTAATTTGGGATCAGGCTAGATGTAGATCTGCGTATTGATATACAACATTATGTATTATTATAACAGATACAGTTAATTGGATAGTTTGATGAAAATATATTTGTATGAAAAAATAATTAGTTCTAATGTAAGCAGGTATAAAAACCATTAAAAGTGTATAATTACCTGAGACGTGGGCACAAATAGACAAAAAGACACGAATTATATTTATTTTTACAGCTACTGACTCCATTTCCTTTTATAATGTCAAATGTCAGGATTTTTTCTTATTTTCAACTAAGCTAGCTAGGTGCTTGGATAAAAACTTTAAAAAGCAGCTTAAGAACTGGATAAAAGTCTGTGCTATTTTCTGTTCATGAGAGAATATTCTATCATTAGAATCAATTAATGTTCTCTGTCACTATCTTGTAGTTCACAATGTATCTGAATTTTAATGCCCATGAATTGACAACAATTAAATCATGTTGTTCTTTTCAATATGATGATTTCTCCTTATTGACTGGCCATTCTTCTACTTCTGTCCCAGAAAACACAAAAAGGAAAGGAATAGTTCAAACTATGAAAATACTTACTTTGCCATAGTAAACAAAGTGATTACAAGACTAAGGGGAAAAAAAAAAAAAGACTACTCTGTGAATATGTTTTACAATTAAAATAAAGAAAACTGTATTCCAAAGCCTTTGTTTTATGCTTATTTGAAGCATTTTGAAAGTAGAAATGCAAGTACCAATTTCTTCTTTGTGTTCTCTGCCACCTTCTAAAATAAAGCAAAGCATAAATAAGGAAGGCTTTTTTTTTTTTTTAATATGGTTGGTGTTACACTGCATATGCATCACTAGAAATTGGATGTAGAACAGTGTTTCATGTATGGGAAAATTTATGAAATTATTTCTATAATCCTATGGCCTTAGAAATTAAAAACCAACAAAAATCAATCTTTTTATTGTGCAACAAGAAGGATTTCCAGTGTCAAGCAAAGAGTTAGTTATTCAAAGCACTGGGCCAGCATTTTAGCTTCTGTAATCACACTATTTCTGCATTCTTTTATTGATCTGTGCCAGAGAGTTAACCCTGAAAGCTACCTACACTGCACCACTTCACTGAGAAATACTAATCTTCCAGAAGCTTTTGGTATATTAGCCATGTTTTAAAATAGATGAAAAAAGAGCTTAGGAAAACTTGTCACTCAGAATAAGGGAAATCTGTATTACCATTAATACATGATTAAGATGAACATACTTTATTTTCTAAGAATTTAGTCAAAACAATTTTAAAACTAGTTTTACAACATTAAACATGAAATTAAAACTGCCTTTGGTAGAAGTCCCTCAATAATTAGGATTTTCATTAATAGTAGCAGCTTCCATTAAATGACATCTCACTATTCAAAACAGAGACACTGCCTTTGTGTTTAGAAGTGACTGGATTTAAGACTTGATGGAAGTACCACGAAACCAGAAATGTCTAGATTTTTGCCTAAAGACTTAGTAAATGAAGTAGTAGCCTGCCATTTTATTTAGCCATTGTCTCATTTAGTCACAAAGGATACCAGCAGCTTTCTGTTCAACAACAACAACTAGTTGTTCTTCTTGAAGGTTTTAAGAAGCTGAATCTTACACATCTGTGAGCTATTTCTTCCCTTCTTCAGAAGCAGTCACAAAAGTTGAACAAATATGTTGCAGAGCAGTAAAATTTCAATGCAAGGTAACTTACTTACCATATAAAAAGAAACAAGATTCCTCTGGGTTTCAAAACAAAAATACAAACCTAACAAATAATCTTCATTTTAAGAGAAAAGCAAGGTGAACTGATGAAAGTTAATTACTACTGAAAAATAATTAATAATTACTAGTGAAAAAGGATGGTCCCTTCAAAACAGGGGTGACCTGAAAGATTTCTTTAAGAAGAAAAAGAAAAGACAACAGAAAGCAATACTTCAGCTCCTGAGTTTGCCTTTATTATATTTTGTCCAATAATTATTAAGCCACAAGTTTAAATATATAATTTTAAAAACCCCAACAAATTAATAGTAGGCCAAGAGTTTGGAAGGGATTTCTTCTTTTTCTTCATCAAGCCTCAAACTGGAAGTAGGAAATACTCATTAGAAGTCCTCTGAGTCTAATATTTTCCCCTTTTTGTCTCAGAATGTCT